CTTGTAGACCCTTTGGGTCATGACTTTGCAATAAATTTTGATGAACTGGCTCAATATTGTTATTAGCTTCGACCATTATAAATGTTAAATTATTTTATTATTACGCAATAAAAAATACAATATTAAATATATAATTATAATAAATCGTCAGTATGATAAGTTTATCTTGCGAAATCAATAAAGTACTAGTAACAGTTGTATTAGATTACGGTGCTGATTGTAATATTATAGGTAAGGAATTAGTACATAGTTAGGTTTAAAAATTGATGATAGCTCTGATGTAGAAGTATACAACCCCATTAGCAAGTTCGATGTAATAGGGATGATTCATGAAATGGAAATTTCAATCCCGTCTCAAGACCCTAAACAAGTAAAAGTTACTGATGTTTTCATTACCAATAAACCCGAACTTGAATCTGTACTGATATTGGCTCAGTCGTGGTTTAAAGATAATGCAATGAATGTGGACTTCCCAAATAAAACTCTTACATTGCTCAATGGAACTAGTTGCGAGGTTAAGTGCAATTGAGAATATCTGGAAAATGCGTAGTATATGCACCTAAAATTAATTATTCGAACATTAGTTGTTTTTTCGATTAAAGGTATATAATAATACATTACTTGAGAATGGTGCAACTATTGCGGAGCAATGACCCAAAGGGTCTAAATATTTTTGATTTATCAGAATTACTAGAACAGATCTTATATTTTTTAGAAATCGATCGATCTCTCTATTCTGCTTTGTTTGTCAATCAGTTTTGATACAAGTGTGGTATACCGCTACTATGGAGAAGAATTGAGTTAAAAGGTAATGATATCCATTACGGACATTATTTTCCAAGTGAATATAAATATTGTGAAGGATATCGAACGCGGTTAGAAAGTTTCATAAAGCTAATATGCGGGAAGAAAAAACCAGTTTATGCCTCAAACCTAAAAAGCTTAAAAATTTCATATTATCATTCAATTACGTACAAAATAATTGGATCCGTTGTAAATTACTGTCCAAATGTAATTCATTTAGATTTTAAAAACAGTGTGGGCGTTGGTAGCAAGACATTAATTAAAATAGTTTCATCATACCCAAATTTAAAACATCTTAATTTATGGGATAATCGAATGATAACTGATAAAGGACTATGTAAGATCGCGCAGACATGCAATAAATTAGAATATCTAAATATTTCTTATTGTAATGATATTACTGACGAATCATTAATAAAAATTGCAGAGTCATGCTATAATTTGAGAGAATTTTATTTTAATGAAGCATATTGGATTACTGATAAAACTGTAAGTCGTATTTTAAACTCATGCTCTAATTTACGATGTTTAGGTATACCGTATAGCCGTGGAAAAATCAAAGATGCTAGTATATTAGTACAAACGCATCTCAAATTAGAGTACCTTGATTTCACTAGTGTTATGGCTTTTCAAAATGATTCTCTTATTGTAGCTATTATCAGATCTTCTCCAAATTTAAAACGTTTCAATATTTCTCATAATGATATCGGTGATGAGGTTGTTGAGGCACTAGCTCACACATGCCATGAATTAGAATATCTTGAACTTGTAGGGTGTGGATTCATTACCGAACCATCGATATGTAATGTTATTCGCTCTTGTCCTAAACTTCAGCATCTTGAACTTGGTTTTTGTGACATTTCCGATACAACCATTAAAGAAATAGCCAGTTCGTGTCCTAATTTAAATATCTTGATTTGGATGGTTGTAAAAATATTAGTGAAAAAGTAGTAAAATGACTCAACCCAAGTATACATATCAAAAATTATGATCCATCATATGAACAGTCTGATTCCGAATCCGAGTTCGACACTTTTGATTCTTACACTTCTGATTTAGACTCTGATACTTCCGATTCTGACTCAAATGAAAATAATGAAGAGAATCCAGATGAAAACAGTTTTATTTCTGCATTCAGTAATTATATCAGTGTATTGTCAGATTTAATAGGTCCAGAACGAAATAATATATTTAACAGTCCCATCCTTAGAATTTCATCACGGCGAGGCCTTTAGGGTAGATAATTAATTATTAGTTATTTTTTTGACTAAAGATATAAAGTATACATAATATAAATTATTTACTATGAAAGTGAAAATAGCCAAAGCTAGAGTAGGGAGGCAAAAAGTTAATTGTCGCCTTGAACCAGGTTTTCACGGTCCTTCCATATGTAGTGATAAGCTCCTCAAAGAAATCGGTGGCAAAATTAGCAGAAAGTTGACTCCCGAAGAAAAAGATAGTAAATTCGTCAAAGAAGAAATCACAGCTCCACTTGGATTAGCCATAATCCCACTTACCTTTACTTCTAATATAAAAAATAATCTCTGTCATAGTAATAAGAAATCTATCACAATTCCGACCGAAGTGCTTGTAGAGAAATATGACCCTAAAACACCTAATTATATCCTGCTTGGTAATAATTGGTTCTATGGCAGAAGCAGAATTAATGATAAAATCCAACATTATTTACCAGAAATAGTGACAGATGCAAAAAATGCTTTTGTAAGAACTACATTGCGTATCAAAGATCTCAGCTGATCTGGGGTGGCCAAAACTAAAAAGAAGTCAAGGGTTATAGTATCGGTTAATAAAAGAGATATTCATGATTTTTACAAAATACTTCCTGGGAAATCGAAAGATTCACTGCCCCGCAGATCAAATATC